TCGATCACGACAGTTCCATGAGGGTCCCAATGAGTCCCTCGCGGCCCTTTCAATCAGATTCGGAGACCAATTCTCCCATCAGATGTAGCCTTGAGCACCTACATGAGACATTGGGGACCATTCGCCGTGCATGGGTGACCTCCAGACCTTACACACGGGATCGAGACGGAAATTTTCGACGGAAAGTATCGCCCGGGCTAGACCCAAGTCATTGATCTCTCTCATGCGGTGCAGACGGTCCAGGAGGACGGTGAGAGTTCAGAAGAGAAGGGATCGCATGTACCTCTTCGAAACGTCATCGAGGATCACGATCGAGAACGCTATGCTTCCTGCATAGCGCAGCGGCCGTGCCCAACACGCTGTGCCGCGCCGACCGCGGAAAAACCCGATGATACAACAATGTTGTTGGATATCAGAAGAAAAAAAACTGACAGGACGCCATGTTGTACGTTGATCTCCTCCTTCATGCCGGGCTCATCATGTTATTTTGCGGGAAAAAAGAAGAGAAATTATTTTGTGACGTAAGCCGAGTTTGCGCAACTCCATCTGTCTTGCTTCGGCTACCTACGTGATTTGCTGGTTGTGGCGGCGCCGGTTGGATTTAATTTTGGAAACATATTCGACCCCAGAAAAAGAAAGGGACTTGTTTTTCATTGCCTGTTGTTGACATGATTATCTCTCGCCAACTGTCAGAAGGATTTCTCCTCGGATCAGTCAAATCTGACGTCTATTTCCGATTGGTCGGCTGGCTGGCCGGCGAGCCGGCCGAACGGGTTCGGGAGGGCGAGTTTTCTCGTTTGCCTGCTCGTTTCTTCATCATCGTGCCTCTGGAACTCAGTTGTCCTGAGGTAAATTGATGGGAGGAAGTAGGAGCCGATCTTCTATTGAAAATATTCATGTAGCGCGCTCGTTCGGTTTTGCAACCGGAAGCATTTGTGCGCAACTCTCCCATCAGAAGAACACCTCCGAAACACAGTGTAGATTACTCTCCAACGCTGTTCATGAGGAAGCTCTGTGATTGTATGATTGTCGCGAATATCTGATCGATCGGAACTTTCCTCATTTCCTCCTGGCTTTCGGGCGAAAGTTTCGGCAATTTTCAACCGGGAGAAGGGTGTTCATGTCGGAGCCACCGATAATAATTCGTTGAGTCGATGTGCACTCCGTGGAGACTCCAGTTTCGGCGGATAACGGATTCGCGTTAGTCAATCGGTGGAGTGCAAAAGGCATCGCCCGCTACCAAGCGCCTCAAGGACGTTGGCACCAAAATCCGAGCTCCCTCGGAGTCTCCTCGCGGCTTCAGGAGAGTCCGACGCTGAGAGAGGGCGTCCTCTGCCCGTCTTCGCTAATTCCTCTGAGGAACTTGACGGAATTGAGCAGCTCGGACTCTGTCTCGCTCCGCTAACGAACAGGATGTCACCGTGGAGTTCGCATTCCTCGCGGCACTCCGCATCCAAGACTAAGAACTTGAATTTGGGATTTTCTCCCAGGATCGGATGCCTCGAGGGAATTCTCCTGAAGTATCCAAGTTACGCATGAGTCAAAGAATTCCGATCATATTCCAGGGCGATTACATCGACATGACACTGGGCCTCACCTTCGGCATCTCGACAATGGCAGGTTAGTAAATGCTTTGAATGCCTATGTACGTTTTCTGGAGGATGGTTGGAAAGCATTTGAAAGGTCCAATGTGAGATGCAAGAGGAGTATGTGAGTACAGAGCTGTAGTAAGAATCGGCTCAGAGTTCGATCGATTGGTTGAGTCCTCGGTCGCCTGGGTGGCTTGACGAAAATCCGTTAGGATGAGCAGTACTCCACACACTTCCTAAAACCGAGAAGAGTAAACACAACAGTAGTATTTGATCTCGATCGCACCGGATCATCGTCAACCATGCTGCAGAGCCGACGAGGTGCTGTCAGATGACCAGCTCGGGAAAATTCATTAGAAAAACAAAGATGAGCGATATTTCTGTCAAAAGCTAATCCGTGATGTCATTCAGACTGCTAGGGTCCCAAAGAGTTTCCTCGAAGACTTTTATTTTTTCACTATCCAAATCAGTAGCGCATAACGATTTCCTGCGAGGAAATTACCGTGGACTCCCTCGAGGGAGCATGAAACATCAAATTGATCCAATCGCGTCTTCCAAGCTCCCATTCACAACATAAGAACAAGTCTTGCTTCTGGCAACGGCTTTTGATTTCGCTATCCGGCTGCTACGAGAGGCGCACTCACAAAAACGTCTTTTTCCGCGGCAGTATCTTTTCCTTCAGAATACCTACCTTGTACCTCATATACCGAAATAATGAGAGGCCTCGATGCGCGCACCGTGATCATGAATAAAAATATCGAAATATCATATTACAGCGGCCGGCTTAGGGAATGCCATCTCGGATGTTGCAGGAATAGGGTGAGTTCGGAAAGTCTCCACTCGAACCTTGCCCATAATATCCAGCCGAAATTATGTTCCGGGGAGCGATTCCGTGGATAGGGTGCCATCGTAATCTCAACGATACGCCGACGATGTCAACGCGTCGAACACGTTATTGCCGATGCTGTAGGGAATTTCTGGGGATAATTCGATTTCGCTTTCAGCTCAGCGTGGTACGTTGAACGGGTTGCATGCCGGGTCGGCGTTGAGGTCCCCAATTTGACTCCTGAGCAACTGGACATGACTTCGACCAGAATCGCCAGCACATTCGTGAGTTCTCCTCGACTGATGATTTGATTTATTATCATGTTCCCGAGTATTTTTTGCGCTGTTTTCATGTGTGCTTCGGCTCGCAGGGACGGGCCTTCGGAGTTTTCTTCGGATGCATCATCGGGATGTGTCCGCTGCTGTTCCTCGACACAAAGGACGACAAAGATGACGAAAGCGACAAGAAAACGAGAGCTACGAAGCGTTGAGCATGCAGGCGTCACGAAAACACCTGCCCGACGGCCGGACTCCCTCGTTCTCCCGCAATCGTTCGGTAGAGCCCCGAGCTCGGGGAGCCCTGCTACGCCTCAGGACTAATCGACCGTGTATTGATTGCCGTCGTCGATCTCTCTAGAAGAGTGTCCCTCAACTCGCCGACCCGGATTGGTACTAACTACCTTTTCCGGGTGGACTCCCGGAGCCAAAGACGGATACCTCCGTCGATGTACATGCATGTTCAGAAGTATATCATTCACCCCCTCAGTGATAGGAAACTCATGGCGACCATCTACACCTGTAGCTCATTCAGGATTCCTATGAGCTATATTGTCCGAGAAGGAAGTCCACTTTCACCGTAGATCGCTCTAATTTCAAGAAGAGAAGGAACGAGAGGGTGCCGCCGAGGCGGAGATCCTCGGAAGTGAAGTATATCTGCTGTAGTTCGATGTTGTTGGTGGAGTATGTACCCTCATCTCGACCATGTTGACATTTTACCAAAGAAACTCCTTCAGCCTATCAGACTTTGCTAACGCTTACCGCGTATAATCCCGGGCGAGAACGGCTCGGAACGATTGCGTTCTCACACTACCTCTTTGAAGGTCACGATTCGGTGATTCGTGGCTGTGGATTTGCACTGTCAATCCGATTCGGATGTCGGAAAACCTGGGAGAAATTCCAAATAAAAATATTCAAAATCAATATTCGTCATCGATCAAACAGACCATAGCTGATCTGTGGCGGATCCCGAATGAGCTCGTTCGTGTTCCCGAGCTTGTCGATCGCTGCTCGGGGTGCATAGGATATTGAAGGACGAGGCTAGATACTCTTCCTGAATTTGCTCGAGATCTTTTTATTACGGTGTGTGGAAAGTCATTCAGAAGCGTAACATGAGATAAACTCAGGGAGTCGATCCCTATCATGTGGTAGTTTTCAAAACAAGTGGATTCGCCATTCTGAAAATGCTCTGTAACATTGAGCTGAGCGAAACGAACGTAGACTCGTTGATACCCGGGGGAACCACGAATTCCACGGTTCGAGGGTCTCCTGCATCAGCGACGAGGGAAGCCATCTCGATCATGAATCCTTTTACGCATTTGTAGATCAGCTCGGCCCTTCAATTCAGAACGGGATCATGTAATTTCGAGCGGAATCCAGTTGACAAGCGTATAAATTCGCTTCAATACGGCCGCCTATATCCGTTGATACGCGCGGATGACAGGCTCGGGGAGAAGACAGAATTAATTTCTTCTCTTCCGTTCGATTTCTAATCTGGTACATATCCGGAGCAAACCTTTTAGAACACCACGCGGCACTCATTCCCGGAGTGAGCTTGTTTGACAGCAGTAAGGGAATGCTCAGGGTCCTGATCTCCCTTTCATAGGCAATCCGAAGAATGTTCCGTAGACCCTGGATCACCTGGAGATCATCCATCGTTTAGCAATGAGCCGAGTTTCATTCTCGCCCTCGGGCACCGGCGGCGGATCAGGGAATCCTTTGAGCTCGCCCCCCGTCTCCATCGCTCCCTTGGATCCGCCCCTATCGAGTACCGTATGTGTATTGAAATTAACAGGGGCACTGCGATTTGGAGGGTGCGCACCTGATGTCTCGAGTTCAGCTCTTTCGAAGCTAAGTCTTCCTCATCGCTACCAGCAACGAGATGAAAAACGACGTGGGCTCTGCCAAGATTCGAATGACGAGTTATGTACACATCTCCAGCGTTGAGAGATACGTCGTCGTCGTCGGAGGGGCTCCGAGCACCCCGGGAAGTTGAGCTCCGACGCTCGTTGCAAGCCTCCGCTTTCCAATATTGAGTTCTGATATCAGCCAGCTGAGTCTCTATATCGGGAAAGTGGAGTTCGGCTCGACTCTTGCAGATTTCCGCGAATTCTGGAGCATGAGAGCAAATTTTTGAATCGATCCCGCAGAAACACCCATGGACGTAATTTTACGGACCATTGCTTGCATTCAGGATTCAGCTGTCAAGTTCACAATTGCTCGCATGCACAAAGGCTTGAGTACCTCTTTTGGTTCCTTTGTACGAACTGACTCTCTTATCAACTAATAGCACGCTTCCTTGAAGATTCGAAGAAAAAAGACACATCGATGTCTGCAGGGATTCTTCCGGGGATCTCCGACGACAGAAGTCCAGAAGATCGGAGCAAGTCAAGCGGAGGTTATGCATCACTTTCAGTTGAGAGCCTGGAGAGAGGTTGGAGCTATCTATGGTTCTCTCATCGTCTTGAGTGATGTTAGGGAATTGCGGAAGTCGATCTGGATTGCTGCAACCGACGAATTTCGAATTTGTCTTTCACTCTGAAGGCGTCTTACCGAGATGTATTGTGAAACTCTCGCTCAGTGCGGGCGGCGGACTAGCTTCTTCCGCTACATCGCACTCCAGAGATGTGTCCGGATGAGGTTTGATGCTGGAATGGACCATGGATATAAATTACGAATAATTCAGGGCTAGGGCGGTGAGAAGCGATATATTTGGAACATTCGATACGGGCGATAAATTATTCTGGTGCGATTTTCGGGTGGTTATCGACAGAACCACTCCAACGCGGTTCCATGGTAGTCGCACCAACTCGATGATAACTCACAATTTACCATCGGTTGCGTTTTTCATGAAGCTCAGCATTTCCTTCCGTTGAGTGTTTCGAAGCAGGCTCAATTTATATTGCCAATTTTTCTCGAAAGCCTGACGTTCCTCAACGTGAACAGACGCTAACCTGTGGATATCCAGGTTTCTTTATTAGGCTGAGTTGGGAACTGTGAATCGAATCCCCAGTCATCGGAGAACGGGTACCCATCTCCGCGGATTCCGCTTATATTCATGCTCTCCCGCAGGACATCACCCTTTTCAGCTGTACTGCTCACATCCCGAGCACAGTCAATGAATGTCACACAGATGATCGCCCGAGGATGTGGACTCCTGAGACTTTTGCGAGTCTCTGCCCCTTCTACCAGCCTATCTTCACCCTCCTTCCCGGCGCGGGATCGCGAATCGCACCGGTTAATATCATATATGTCTTCCATCCCTCTGAGCTATGGATAGTCGGAAAGCAGCGCTATTCCTCGATACATTTCCCCTAAAAATCACTCCTTTCACTTGGTCATCCAGATTTTCTGTTGGAATTTTCGCGCTCGATCCGACCGACAAGGATGCGGGCTCTTGCCATCCCCGTCCTGAGAGGGAGCTATCGCGAATTGCTCATGGGTGGGGAATACTGACCGATTGAGAAGATGTTCGAAGTCAACGCTCTCGACTGTCTCCAGTTCCCTGTTTTGTTTTTCGATCAGCGCTGCTAGATCTGCTTCCATCTCTGCTCTCATCGCACTAGCCCTGGCTGAGAAACCGTCCTCCACCGCGAGAATTTCGAGTTGGCAGCCGCTATGCATCAGGTTGTGGTACAGCAGAGCAAATTCTGCGAAATTCGATGCAGGGTCAGAAGTCGATATTAGAGGATGGAAGAAGCGGTGTGGATGCTCGACTTGCCGCCGCTTGTCGTGGATCCGCCATGAATTCATGCACCGATACTTTGTAGTCGAGCGACAAGTCCGTGATCAAAAATGTGGATACTGACCGTCTTCTTCGGTGTCGGCTCTCTGATCTCCAATGTCCGCATATTTCTTGTACTCTTCTCGATATTTCTTCGCAATAGTTCTCGACAACTCAGTTCTGTCTCCTTTGAGCTGCGTGCTGAGGATCTTTCTCGCGTTCTCAGTAAAGTACTCTGAAGACTTCTCGCGGACGAAGTTCTCAAGAGCGGTCGCAAGCTCTGAAATCAAATCCTCCTGGTACAGTAATGTATACTCCCACGTTCCATATCGCTAGTAGCTACTTCCCCGTACCCTGAGGGTTAATACATCGATTTATGAATGCTCAGACCTGTCGTGAGCCAACTTAATGAAAGTTACCCGACCTACAGAATATACGCAGACCAACGAATGAAAGAACGTATGTGAGTTTTCCACGTTCACATGGAGGCCAAACGAACGGGTAAACCGCTGGGACATCTAACGCCAAGTCGCGAGCGTTTCGAATCAGATCAGAAAACATCCGCCTTCTTACAACGTCAACTCATACTTTTCCTGAGTTTCGCCGCTCATCGTGGCTCCCTTAGATATCATGAGCGTGATTCTCTCACAGACGTCAGTATCGATGAGAATGAGTTTTTATGTTGCAGTTACACCAGAGCTTTCATCGAATGGCCCGAGTCTCTACCTCAGGGTCACCATGCTTCAGAAGCACATTGATCTCAGTTCCCTCATCGAGCTTTCTGATTACGTGAGCGAAGCGAGTGCGGCCGTACGGAGCTCAGGTGAAATTTTCTCTGAGGGAAAAAATGAATTACAGGGAGTCATTTGATTGAGAATATCGATCATGAACATCCCAAACGTGTGCTCAAGGAAATACACGTTCCGGGCGCGGCGCTGCGCAGTCCAACACGCTATTTTAGAATAGTCATGAAATCTGTCAATTCCAAAAGATGGTTTCGCTCTCTAAAAATTTTCTACTCTTCAGAAGAAATTCGAAGGTCGGCCAATGAAAATGCTCTTCGGTGAACGATGTTTTCCGATGAACGAATCGTCCGCGCGGCGAGACCGCACAATTTATCTGATTGAGGTTCTCCATCATCCTATCCCAGACTGCTACGTATTATCAATCTTCGAGTCCAGCTTTTCACCGCCGACGATTTCTGTCGACCTCTGTACCCATCACGGTAGCTTCAGAATACTCCCAGGACATGACACATCCATAGAAGCGAGCCACTTCCGCTGGCTCTTGCACCGGGCTGCATGATGGATGAGTGGGAAAGTTTCTGTCCGGAGCGACTCACCGGGATCGGCTCACCTCTCCCTGTCGTGTGCGAGACGCTCTAGGAAGGGCGGAGAGTCACTTCGAGCACCGACGTCAAGGGCTCTATCCCGGGATACACCACCTACATTCGTGGGATCTCTGCTCGAGGTAGACGTTGCAGTAGATTTCGATCATCGTCGCTCTGCCGCTCGATATGAAATCCGACCCGGCGCCGTGACTTCCTTCGCAAGGCGCCATTGGTAATTATTTGGAGTTTGCTCACTCTTTTTCGCAAACATCAACATGCGCCCCTCTCGCGGGGTCAAGGCGTTCGGTAGGTGGTGTCATATCCGGAATACGAAGTCCAGCCAGCGAAACGGATTTTACAGACATCGCGCCTCAAGCCTCGCTCCCAGAGAGTGTGCTGATTTGGACGTGGACGCATTTACTTCAGCTGAGCATTGCACCGTCGGCGTACGTGGAATGGTTTGAGGAAGAGCGTCATCATTTTGATCATGCATAACTTCGTCACCTGGCGCTTGATTGATGGCAACTGCTTGATTACGAACAAAACACGCGTGTTGCCAAGCTTTCTTCAGAACTGAGCATCTACATCAGATATCTACATCTACGGAATGAACTTGAGAAGTTGATGTTTTCAGTTCTTCAAGGTATGCGCTTGGGCTCGATGAACTCGAGAAGAAGACGAAGCTCAGCCTCCGCCCCAGCTATCTCCAGGAGCGACGCCTTCCGCTCTTATCCGTCTCCGGGACCAAATTGAGGAGGAAATTCCATAAACGACATGTAAAATACCCCAACGATTTATTAGTAGTTTTCTCATAAGAATGGAACAGATCACAGCTTTCCTCGCTTGCACTCGACTTGGAAAAACTGCTAACATTTCGCGTTCTCCCCTGGGAATCGGCGACTGCTCGGATTCCGCATAGTTTACAGTTTCACAATCCTTTTCCATGCAGATATCTGCAGTCATTCATGATCCGGCCTCAAGTTTACATTTCGTACAAAAGCTATGAACGGGGCTCGATTATTCCTTTCAACAACCCCGTAGACTAGCCTGAAGTTCTTCCGGACACATGTCCTCTAGCCTTGTCAGTTGGAGAACGAGTTGTGGTCCATCATATGCGTCGAGCTTGAGCATGAGCTCATCTAGTTCACTCATGGTTTTCTTCGGTTTCCTTTGGCTGTTGGGTTTCCCCCGTCCTGGCCTCGATGCCCTACTCGGTTTCCTTGACTTTCCTCGGTGGTTTGAGGCATATAGGCTGTTCCCATCAGAGCACGTATTCGGAGCCACCGATGGGGCTCTATTCTCGTCTCTCGTGGGCTCGATGTGGGTTTCTCCGGCGCCAGGCGTAGCGCTCTCAGCTTGACTGTCAACAGCTGGGCTCTCCGTGAATTCACCCGGTTTCGACGAAGGAATCGGATTCTCGAACACCACTGGAGGACACGGCGTGTATCCCTCATGAACCGTAAACACCGAAGAAGATAGAGTCCACGACTCGCGAGCGACGAGCGCCATGCTAGCGATTTCTTATCCGGACGCCGACAGAGGGGAGAAAGGGAACTGGGGCACAAATGCGGAAAGCACACAATCCTCAACGCTGTTTTTCCGTGGATTTTTCTGACTCGGGGAATTTCGAAAGTGATGAGCGTTCGTCAACAACAGCTCGGAGAACGAGAGCGCGAGGAGGAGCGCTAGTGTGTTGTGATGGCTGCTGCTGCCGGGGCAAGGTTTGTTGATGTTGTGATGGTGGTGGGCTGTCTCAGGCGGCACATTCGAATCTCTCGAACTGCTAATCTCAAACGTCCCCGATCCCCGTCGAGGGTCGACAGTCTCGGCAATCGCGAATAGAATGAGATTCTCGAGCAAGTCTAAAGATTGTTCGAAGTTTGAGGGGCTACGCTTCGATGGGCTCGACGCTCTACACTGGACCGAGCCAGTGCAAGAGCTCTCTTTTAAGGTTCTGCTTATGATATGCGGTGGGTCGGAGCAGAGAGGAGGGTCGCTCATTAGAGCGTAGATCTCGCACAGAAGTCTCCGCAGGGGATATTAATTCTAATTCGGAATTTGAGGCGAATGGATCTGGGCTAATCATGTTCTATCCGCGATGAGTGCTTAGAGACCCCAGCAAAAGCGAGAGCTTTTGGGCCGAACTCGACCAGGAATTTCGTTCTCATTAGGGCGAGACCCGGGCGATCGGATGGACCCCTGCTTCGGAACTAATGAAGGAATTTCATTCTATCCGCCCAGAGGGGATTCCTTAGCTTCTGTATCACCAGAAACAGGGAGACAGGATTTGTTCCGATTTTTCTCCCGCGGAAAAGCCTTCTGAGAAAAACTATGAAGCGATGCTTCCTGGAAGTGGGGGTGGAAATTTGCTTGAAACTCCGACAACCTGTACAAAACGGGAAATCGTAGCAGATCTCCGAATGAACCCATCGTAGGTATGAGGACGAAGTAGAGAAGCCAATAGGAAAATAAACGATGTTCTCCATGAGATCGTAAGTCGGAATTATTCGATCATCCAACCCGTGACGCAGGTCTTTATTATCTCCGCAGCGGTTTCTCTGTCGTCTCCAGACCCTCAACATAAGACATTCAGATCCTTCTGTCCGGTTCCTCGTTCAATACTCCAATTCGGTCTCATTAACAAAAAAAACGCCTTCGCCTTGCTCTTGGATTTGTTGTAGCGTTGTCTGAGCTGCTTCAAGATTTGTCAGTTGAACACTTTCGCTGAATGGATCAACGTATCTTCGCATGGTTTTCACAGACGGCAGGGTAAATAAACCATCGCCGTAGAGAGATCTAACAAACTCGTAGCTCTTCGAATTAAGCTCATGCCATTTCATGTATTCGATGGCGGTCTCCATCGAGAATTTGAAGGCTTTGGCTTTATAATTCGAAATTTGCTCCAAGAGTATCTTGGCTTTGAGAGTTCGCTCTCTGCTAACCGAGCTGGAGGCATCGGCGATGATGGCCCGCACTTTGTGCGAGATATCATCTTCAGCTTGTTTACGGTCCACGGGATCGCGCTCAACAGCACTTGGATCGAGGGCTTCAGAGCAGTCGATGTCGTTCACTTTCAGTAGGACACTCATTTCCGGGGCACACGTTTCCTGGAGGACCGGAGGGCATTTTCTCCGTGCTCTTTTCTTTCTGCTCTGCGATTGGGCCGAAACTGGTTCTTGAGGAACTTCTACGGTATGCTCCTCCGAAGTTTTCTTCGTCAGAACACCGCTCTTTCTTCGGGTTTGATAGTTTGACTTAACGACGGTCTTCGTCTTGCCTTTCTCTTCGGTGACTATGACCTCGTTCGGTGGCAGCTCCACAGGATCTCCGCTCCTCCGAGTTCTTTTGCTGGGAACCGATGGCACTTCCATGATATCATCACCATCAGCAGTGACTCCAACATCCTCTTCAGCCGGCTGGTCTGAGACGATGATTTGAACTACCTGCTCCTTGACAGCTCTTCTACTCTCTGCTGTATTCTTGCGACGCTTCATTGTGGTGAGGTCTCGGCTGTACGGAATACAGCGTCCGTTTTCCGTGGAGACACTTCTCTGTTCGTACACCGGTGTCTTCTTGTTGTGGAAACATCAATGCATACCGCTCGATGCAGCTGCGCGAACACCGAATTCACCCGCCATTTTCAAACGGTTCTCAAAATCCATGACAGGGAAGTCCTATTCATTCTGGATTCCGGTTTGGTTCCCCTGAACTCCGAGCGTGGAAGATGTACTGATTACTCGATGGGATTCGTAACGCTTAGGCAGGAGAGTCAGCGAAGGAGCTCGCAAGGCAGACACCGATAACTCGTCGTGATTTGAGGCTGTCTACAGAATCTCTGCTGGCATGATCCGGCCGTCGTACACCTCGAGAACGAAGAAGAAACGCTCAGCATATGGCTCACTCACCTGCTTTCGCATAGAAGGGGAGTCTGTGCTCTTTTATGAGTCTGAAGGCGAGCTCATCTAGATTCGTCGCATTCGGAATTTCGAGCGTACACGTCAGAGGGGGCTCGCCCCCTTCGCTACTGCGGTGACGCCATTCGAAAAGAACCTTCGAAAAGAAACACGTCAATGAGATATTATCAGCTCATATGGTGCCGACTCATATGTGAACAAGACGGATGAAATTGTCAAACATACCTCTCCCGCTTGCGTGGAGTCAATCATCGCTCGGGGTGCGATGGTGGCTTCGAGGAGCCGCGAAATACCTCCAGGCGACAGTACCGTCTCCACTAAATGAGCTTCCGTCCCTCAGGGAGAATACCGGCGCGAACCGCGGATCTAAGTCAGTGATTATTTCTCCCCTGCCTCGTCCACATATCGAACAGCTGACAGCGACGGCGGTGGTGGAGGCGATATGGTCTGCGAGGCGCCAAATTTGAAGAGCCCTCTCTGGGAGCGCGCCCGGATGTTCCCCGAAAAGTTGTCGTATTACTCTCGCCTGGTTCGTCCCGCGCCGTACCGATCGCTGCCAGCTCACTCCGCTAGGGAAATCCCATTCCTTCAGGGACTCCCCAAGGACGCATGTATGGAGAACGTCACCGATCTTCCCCCGGCCTCCTGTCTTCGAGAGCTCCCCCCGTTACAGGTGTCGAGAGAGAGTCCCGTCGACTTTCTCCCTCCGCTGTTTCCCGATATCAGGGGATCTTACGGAAGTTGGAGGGCCGCTTTCCACAGTTCGACCAATAATGTCTCACGGGAAGTAGCCGTGTCCTGATCTATCGTCGAAACGTGCCCCAGCGCTCGGCGATACCTAACCGAGGTCATCCGATCCGAGACGTATTGGACTTGAGGGGAAGTCGAGTCTAGGCGGTGAATTCTTCGGCATTCGCAGTCTGACTCTGTACACTCAACTCGGGGGGCTGAGGTGAACGGCAGTCCTCCCATCGCGGCGCCAGCCTTGTTTTTTCGGGAAGCCTGAGCTTTCGTAGACACCATTCTCCTCGGATTCCCCGAGACGGGCGGTCAGCGTTCGGGAATGATGACGCGCCGTATCGATATTCATACGACCCCCTGCTGCCCACTTCCTACGTAGGCTACTGGAGGCCATCTCTAAACTCCTTCAGTCGTATCTGACAGACTAATAGTCGTTCTTTTTTCTCGCGTCTTACTAGATATCTTCAATCAACATGATGATATATGTAACTATCTTCATGTGGGACCTGAATTTTGACTCTTACTCCGCGGTCTCTGCTAACGGAAACCTGTGAGCGAGCGGGGTGCTGATGCTGTGTCGGTTCCCTCTCCAAGTTGCTTATGAGGATGATCAGCCGAACTATCCCTGTTCATGGAAGAATGATCTCTTGTCTTAGCGCACGTTCCCGAACATGCGGTCCATGAGGAGCGGCGCATCCGATAGTCACACCCGACACGAGGTGGGAGGTCGCGGAGCTTCCCCGTCCATTCAAGGCCTCAGTGGGTTGGACATCGATGATATCTGTGGTGAGCTTATTCTGATACCGAACTCTTTCAAAGATTGGAATTTCGCGGAGTCATAGATCCCCCGGCTCCCCGCGAGCGCCAAGCCGCAACTGAACTCCTCTTTGATAAACTCATCTTGAAAAAGACTTTATGAAGTCCTTGCATCATAGGAAGTTGCTGCCGAGTGTTCTGTGGCGACCGGATCGAGCTTGAATGCCGGTGATGAAAAGGTCGAAACGTCCGATTCGAGCGTATCTTGTGTTTCGAAAATACCCTAGCGATTCTTCAGGCTTATTTTTCGGTGAGTCGATCGTTTCAGCGCAGCGTGATGTGGATCTTCGGATCCGAATGAGAAATCCGAGAGCCGGGTCGAAAAATCGGGGTATCTCGATCGA